AAGTGAATGCTCCAAACTCCCGAACGGCATACAAGGGAATAAGGTAGCACTCCAAATAAATGAACCAGAACCATACGAATAGCTGCTAGCAGACGAACAGGAAAAGCTCCCAAGCGGCTTACACTCCTGGCAATCAGTCATTAGCAGCATACAGTAAATCCCCCCAAAGACGAGACAAGGCTCCGTGTTGAGGGTCAAGCAGTGGTCTGTTTTAATGAGGGCTACCTGCCCAGTATTTATGCAGGTCTCCCACCTGGTGGACACTCCCCTAGGGGACCAAATGGGAGACTGTGACAAAAGACAGACAAGTAGACAAATAGGACACACAGTCACAATATATTCCCACAATGCATCCGGGCTTCCTCCCCTCTGCCCTGGGAGATAATTGGTAAGTAATTAAATTATCTCCCAAGACAAAGGCAAAACTCCATTACACATGAGGGGATACAAAACCAGTATTATGTATATTTATTACATAAAACACAGACATGTAACATATCCCCAGATAGCTCAGGTCTGAGCGCACATTATTAAGCGAATGGCGCTCAGACCACACGAAGACAGCTTTTCTCCAGGCGAAATAAAGTCTTTTAAAAGGGGGCCATAGTCCAGAGGCAGCAGGCGAGCAACCAGGCTTCTCCAATGCAATGTGGCGAGATTGGTCTCGTCACACACACACAGATTAACTTTTTTTTTAATTTAAATCCCCCCCCAACCTCCTTACCTTTGGGAGTGCTGGGGGGGGGGGTCTCTCTCTCCCTGGTAGTCCAGTGGCTGCCGGTCGGCCGGGCGGCGCTGGCAGGCGGGCGGTTGGCGAGGGAGCACTTCCTATGAGCTGTCTGCTCAGCTCCCTCGCGCGCCGGCTGCAGAGTGAGGCTGGGAGCCGGAAGATGACGTCATCTTCCGGCTCCCAGCCTCACTGTGCGGCGTGCGAGGGAGCTGAGCAGACAGCTCATAGGAAGTGCTCCCTCGCCAGCCCGCCCGCCCGCCCGCCCGACCGCCTGGGATGTCAGTTAGCCGCAAGGCTAACTAGGCATTTACCCTGGGCATTTGGGGGGCGGCGTTTTTTGCCGCCCCCTGAAAAATGCCGCCCAAGGCAAATGCCTTGTTTGCCTCGCGGCTAATACGTCCCTGGTGACAGGTGACAGAGTGTGTGAGGAAGAAGGTGACAGGTGGAAGAGTGTGGGAGGTTGTGACAGGTGGCAGAGTGAGGGGGTACCTGGTGGCAGAGTGAGGGAGGGGTTGAGTGGTGGCAGAGTGAGGGGGAAACACAGTGAGTGGGGGTGACTGGTGACAGAGTGAGGGGATGACTGGTGACAGAGTGAGGGGATCACTGATGACAGAGTGAAGGAGTGACTAGTGACAGAGGGAGGGAGTGACTAGTGACAGAGGGAGGTAGTGACTAGTGACAGAGTGAGGGAGGGGGTGACTGTCACTAGTCACCCCATCCCTCTCTCTGTCACTAGTCACTCCCTCCCTAACTCTGTCACTGTGTCACCCGCTCCCTCATTCTGTCACTAGTCACCCCCTCACTCACGCTGTCACTAATCACCCCCTCTGTCCCTAGTCACCCCTTCCTCACTCTGTCACTAGTCACCCCATCCCTCTCTCTGTCACTAGTCACTCCCTCCCTAACTCTGTTACTGTGAAGGAAGGAAGGGGTGACTGGTGACAGAGTGAGGAGATGACTGGTGACAGAGTGAGGGAAGGGATGACTAGTGGCAGAGTGAGGGAGGGAGTGGGTGACTAGTGACAGAGTGAGGAAGGGGGTGACACAGTGAAAGAGTGAGGAAGGGGGTGACACAGTGACAGAGTGAGGGAGGGGGTGACTAGTGACAGAGTGAAGGAGGTGGTGACTGTCACTAGTCACCCCATCCCTCCCTCACTCTGTCACTAGTCACCCCATCCCTCTCTCTGTCACTAGTCACTCCCTCCCTAACTCTGTTACTGTGAAGGAAGGAAGGGGTGACTGGTGACAGAGTGAGGAGATGACTGGTGACAGAGTGAGGGAAGGGATGACTAGTGGCATAGTGAGAGAGGGGGTGACTAGTGACTGAGTGAGGGAGGGAGTGGGTGACTAGTGACAGAGTGAGGAAGGGGGTGACACAGTGAAAGAGTGAGGAAGGGGGTGACACAGTGACAGAGTGAGGGAGGGGGTGACTAGTGACAGAGTGAAGGAGGTGGTGACTGTCACTAGTCACCCCATCCCTCCCTCTGTCACTAATCACCACCTCCCTCACTCTGTCACTAGTCACCCCTTCCCTCCCTCACTCTGTCACTAGTCACGCCCTCCCTCTCTCTGTCACTAATCACACCCTCCCTCACTCTGTCACTAGTCACAACCTTCCTCACTGTCACTAGTCACACCCACTAGGAAGGGGTTATTAGTGACAGGGTGAGGGGATGACTGGTGACAGAGTGAGGGAGGGAGTGGGTGACCAGTGGCAGAGGGAGGGAGGGAGTGGGTGACCAGTGACAGAGGGAGGGGGTGACACAGTGACAGAGTGAGGGAGTTGGTGACTAATGGCAGAGTGAGGGAGGTGGTGACTGTCACTAGTCACCACCTCCCTCACTCTGTCTCTAGTCACCCCTCCCTCTGTCACTAGTCACCCCTTCCCTCCCTAACTCTGTCACTAGTTACCCCCTCCCTCACTCTGTCACTAGTCACACCCTCCCTCACTCTGTCACTAGAGTGAGGGGGTGACTAGTGGCGGAGTGAGGGAAGGAAGGGGTGACTAGTGACAGAGTGAGGGAGGTGGTGACTGTCACTAGTCACCACCTCCCTCACTCTGTCACTAGTCACCACCTCCCTCTGTCACTACTCCCTCCCTCCTTCTGTCACTAGTCACCCCCTCTGTCCCTTACTCTGTCACTAGTCACCCCCTCCCTCACTCGGTCACCAGTCATCCCCTCCCTCTGTTACGCCCTCACTCTGTCACTAGTCACTCCCTCACTCTAGTGACAGAGTGAGGGAGGGTGGGACTAGTGACAGAGAGAGGGAGGGGTGACTAGTGACAGTAAGGAAGGGGATGACTAGTGACAGAGTGAGAGAGGGGGTGACTAGTGACAGAGTGAGAGAGGGGCTGACTAGTGACAGAGTGAGGGAGGGAGTGGGTGACTAGTGACAGAGTGAGGAAGGGGTTGACACAATGACAGAGTGAGGGAGGGGGTGACTAGTGACAGAGTGAACGAGGTGGTGACTGTCACTAGTCACCCCATCCCTCCCTCTGTCACTAATCACAACCTCCCTCACGCTGTCACTAGTCACCCCCTCCCTCTCTCTGTCACTAGTCACACTGTCCCTCACTCTGTCACTAGCGTGAGGGAGTGACAGGTGACAGAGTGAGGGAATGGGTGACTAGTGGCAGAGTGAGGGGATGACTGGTGACAGAGTGAGGGGATGACTGGTGACAGAGTGAGGGAGGTGGTGACTAGTGACAGAGTGAGGGAGGTGGTGACTGTCACTAGTCACCACCTCCCTCACTCTGTCCCTAGTCACTCCTCCCTCTGTCACTAGTCACCCCCTTCCTCACTGTCACTAGTCACCCCCTTCCTCTCTTTGTCACTAGTCACACCCTCCCTCACTCTGTCACTAGAGTGAGGGGGTGACAGGTGACAGAGTGAGGAAGGGGGTGACTAGTGATAGAGGGAGGGGTGACTAGTGGTAGAGTGAGGGAAGGAAGGGGTGACAGAGTGAGGGGATGACTGGTGACAGAGTGAGGGAGTTGGTGACTAGTGACAGAGTGAGGGAGGTGGTGATAGTCACTAGTCACCACCTCCCTCACTCTGTCGCTAGTCACCCCTCCCTCTATCACTAGTCACCCCCTTCCTCACTCTGTCACTAGTCACCACTTCCCTCTCTCACTCTGTCACTAGTCACCACTTCCCTCTCTCACTCTGTCACTAGAGTGAGGGGGTGACTAGTGACAGAGTGAGGGAAGGGGTGACTAGTGGCAGAGTGAGGGAAGGAAGGGGTGACTAGTGACACAGAGTGAGGGAGGTGGTGACTGTCACTAGTCACCACCTCCCTCACTCTGTCACTAGTCACCACCTCCCTCTGTCACTACTCCCTCCCTCCGTCTGTCACTAGTCACCCCCTCCGTCCATTACTCTGTCACTAGTCACCCCCTAACTCACTCTGTCACTAGTCATCCCCTGCTTCTACCAGGAAGTAACAGCAGTGGATGCCTGAATAACCACGATGTTCATTTATAAATGTGTTGATTTCTATCTAAAACAGAACTTTTATAAAATGAAAAAAGAGGACGACACACTAGCAAGCAGGCACACACTACGACAGGGGTGCCCAAAATGTAGATTCCCCCAGATGCTTTAAAACTACAGCTTCCATGATACTTTGTCATTCTAATTGCATTTTAAAGTCATGCAAAACATCATGGGAGTTGTAGTTTTACAACATATGGGGATTTACCTTTTGGGCAGTCCTGCTATTGGAAGAACTTGGATTGGTAAACTGTAGGAATAAGATTTCCTTGTGATTTTGAGTATGGGTAGGCTTATACCTGCAGTGAATTTTGCAAATTGTGGTTGTTGTAAGCAACTGTGTGCCAGGAGCTCAAATTGTTTTGGTTCTTGGCATGCCCTTGAACAATCACTAATATTAAAAGTGGCAGTGAAGTAGGTGCACATGTTCAATCTAATTTAATCAGTTGTATTTTTATTAATGAAACAGCAGTGATTTACTAATATAATATAATATTACTTTAATATTTTTGGATACGTTTGTCAAATGATTCCAATCTGTTAGAATTTTTTTTTTTTATGATTTATCTTCAAAATTTCTCATAGACTTTAATGGAACTACCTTGGATAAATCATTTGAAACGTTTTTCTAACAGATTGTAATAATTTGCAAAGCTTATTCAAAAATGCTACATCTCAGCCAAGGTTAGAGATGGTGTTTTCCGAGGTTCTGTCTTCGAGTCCTCTGGATTTTCTCTATTTTTATAAATGATTTTCACACAGTTTGCATCATGTCAACTGATCTTTTTGCTGAGGATAACATATTCTGTACTAAGAAAAAAAACAAATGGCAGTTTACTATATTACAGCTGGATTTTTCAGAGGTTGAAAAATAGATCTTAAAAGAACAAACTGTTATGAAACTCTGACAACACTGTCTCAGTGAGTGTTTGGAATAAAGGTCAATTTACATAAACTCAGCAATCCATGTTTAACAATAAAATGTCAATTTTCAATTTCATATATAACTGAAATGTAACTAAACACTAATCTCTCATTAGAAGTTCCTATAATTTATGATTTTATAGATTTTTTTATTAAAGGGACAGTTTAGGCCTAATAAGGCACCATAAGAACTTTATCTAAATAAAGTTGTTATGGTACCGGAAGGCCCCTGGGTGCATTCCTACCTTCAGGGATTAAACTATTCTCAAATGGTTTAATTCCAGAGTTGCCTCCAGTGCTGATCTCAGCTCCCCCCCCCCCACGACGGCCTGCGGCTCAAGAAGCGCAGAGTGCCGCTGGGCAGGGGTGCCGTTGATTGGTTGAGAGCGGTCAGCTGATGATCTCAGTCATTTAGTGACTCCCCATTCACAAAACTGGTTTGGAAAATGTAGATTAAGTTGCCATGGGGCCTCCTGGAACAATAACATTTAGATTAAGTTGTTTTGGTGCCTGGAGTGTTTTTTTAAGTACTATATATACTCGAGTATAAGTCGAATTTTTCAGCACGTTTTTTGTGCTGAAAAACCCCCACTCGACTTATACTCGAGTTAATGTCTGTACTATGGCAACTTACATTGCCATAATACAGACCAGGACCTCCGGGCTTCTAATGAGCCAGGCGGTCCTGTTGGGGCTGGCAGAGAGCTGTAACTTACCTTTCCTGCAGCTCCTGTCAGCTCCCCTATCTCTCCTCCGGTCCGGTCAGCTCCCCTGTCAGCTCCACTGTAAATCTCGCGAGAGCCGCGGGGAATGGAGAAGGGAGCTGACCGGTCCGGAGGAGAGAGATGGGAGCTGACAGGAGCTGCAGGAAAGGTAAGTTACAGCTCGCTGCCAGCCCCTCTCCTACAGAGTGCACACCACTGGACCACCAGGGAATGAGAACCCCCCTCCCTGGCCAGCTAACAAGCAGGGAGGGGGGACGAAACAAATATAAATAAAAAATTTAATAATATTAAAATAAAAAAAAATATTAATAATAATTTTAAAAAATAATAAAAATGCCCAAACCCCCACCAAGGCTCTGCATCACATACACACACTGCACTCATACACACACACACTGCATTCATACACACACACACACTGCACTCATACACACACACACTGCATTCATACACACACACACTGCACTCATACACACACACACACTGCATTCATACACACACACACACACACACTCATACACACACACACACACACACACACACACTGCATTCATACACACACACACTGCACTCATACACACACTGCATTCATACACACACACTGCACTCATACACACACACACACATTGCATTCATACACACTCATCTGGTCGTTGTTGTGGAGTAGCGCCTTGGAGGGGTCGTCAAATTCCAAGTGGCATGTAGTGGGAAAAGAGAGGAGACATATCTGGTGCAGTATGTAAAATTTCTAAATAAAAAAAGAGAAGGAACACTTACAGTGTAGGGAGCTATCTCTTAGCTCTAGCTGTAGCACCTGGGCAGTACAATCCCCGCCTATGGATATAATGATAAATCTTGGTCCGACCGAATCAGGTATGCATATGTAACATAAACACAAGAGCAAAAAGCAGTGCAATATGTCAGGAAACCAAAACTTAATACATACTATAACAATGCACACTCACATTTGTTAGAGTCCTCTAATGGCTCCTTGCACATGACCACCTTAGGGCAGATTGATTCATTGGGTCCTCAGTTTGTGGCTGGGGCCTGGCTGCTTGCAGTGTATGCTCCTGGGTGCAGTGCCCATCTGCCCTGGGAGTAAAAGCCCAATGCCTCTGGTCTGCGGCTCCGCCGTATGCAGAATTGCAGACCATGTGGTAGAGGTCTTGGCCAATCAGAGTGTTACTGTGAGTTACTATTGCTGTGAGTTACCATTTCAAATGCGGAGCTCTCAAGACCTCTACCATATGATCTGTCTGCACCAAGCGGAGCTGCAGACCGGATAGCAAGGCCACCAGACCACCAGTGAGGAAAACTACTCGACCACAAGGGATTCAATTACTAGATTAAAAAAGGTATTTCAGTGTGGAGTGGCTGGTAATTAAAATAGTCTCCCCACACACTGTCACCCTACCTACATACACAATACCATCCCCCATTTACACGTTGTCACCATCCCACATGTAGACACTGTCATCTTGACAAACACACACTGTCATTGGGGGGAAACTGAGACACATGGAGGGGGAATTTGCATATGGAATGGACTGGGGGGAGTTTACACATGGAAGGGACTGGTGGGGGGAATTTACACTTGGAAGGGACTCGGGGGTGAATTGGGAAACAGAGATGGACTGGGGGAGAATCGAGACACATGGAAGGGGCTGGAGGGAAATTGACACATAAAAGGGATGGGGGGGATTGAGACACATGGAGGGACTGGGGGAATTGATACATGTAAGGGACTGGTGGGAAATTGAAACATGGAAGGGACTGGGGGTGTGGAGGAATTAACACATGTAAAGCCTGGGGGGAATTCACAAATGGAGGGACAGGGTGATATTGACACATGTAAGGAAATTGGGGGAATTGAAACACATGGAAGGGACTGGGGTGTGTGAAATTGACACATGGGAGGGACTGGTGGGGGAAGATTGAGACACATAGAAGGGGAAATGAGACACATGAAGGGGCTGTGGGGAAATTGAGACACATGGAGGGGCTGAGGGGGAGAATGAGACACATAGAAGGGCTGGGTGGGGATGAGACACCTGGGCGAGGGCCCAGGGTAATTTCTGCACTGGGGCCTGGTGGTTTATAGTTATGCCTCTGTCCCCACCCTGTCACATTAACCTCCTTTAATCCTGTCCCCTCTCTCCTCCAACCATGTCACACTCCCTCATCAAAGCATGTCACATTGCACATTCACCCTGTCACATTAACATCTCTAATCCTGTTAAATGAACCCACCTTAACCTGTCACATTCACCTCCCCTAGCCCTGTCACACTCCATCTTCCAACCTTGCAACATTCACCCAAATCAAAACAAGAATTATTAGGTGGAGTAGCACAAGAAAGTGTCAAGTGTTATAAATCCATACAGATACATATATTATAGATAAATTAATACATAAAAACTGAAACACTCACAAATAGAAAATCAACAATATAAAATGTTCAAGAAATTAAATCCATATAATAATAATAATTATCACCAAAAAACGTGTCACACTCAATAATATGGATAATGTGAGGGTGGCATGATAAGGGCAATGCAAAGGTAAAGTGGCAACATATTTAATACATATAGATATACAATAAATGGAGAAACACACATAGAGAAACATATACGATAATGTAATAAATAATATATAACAGAATTATAGAATATGTGTTGAAAATGTCTGTTTTATTACCTATACCTTTTTAATTTGGTAAATTATTTTTTTAAAGCTTTTTTGCTCAACCATTTTTTTTTTTCAATAACCCATTTACACTTGCACTTATGTATACACAACTGCCAGGCTATGCAATCATACTCCGCAATCGTGAATAAACGATTAGCATAATTGCAAATCCAATTTATTTATTGCAAATTAATTTTGCTTGCAAATTATGTCATAACTGCCATCAGAGACCTTGCAACACAGCGGCACAGGGAGCGCTGAATGATGAATACAAAGGCTCTCTGTATCCAGTGCTGCAAGCGCACCCTTGAATGTAATTACAGCTGCTTATACATACACAATGCCACCCTTATTCATTTATTTTTTATATTAATACATCATGATAAGTTTCATTTTAGTTTTAGCTATCATGATATAAAATAATGGATGTGGGTGTGTTTTGGTGGGTGTGGTTATGGTGTTCATCCTTGTTCCTATTTATAGTTAAATTCCCCCTCTCATAATATTGTAAAGCGCTACAGAATCTTTTGGCGCTATATAAATGGCAATAATAATAATAATAACCCTAGGCAGCTCAATGTCTTGGGCCGGC